TAAAATTAATTTTCAGGATGAGGTGGAATCCCTACTTTCGTAAAAGTTGTTTTAAAGTGGAAAATTTGTTCAAATGCATGAATTATAGTCTTTTGATTAAAATATGGAAATATGATTAAATTCATTTTCAGAATGGGTGGAATCCTACTTTGTAAAAGTTGTTTTAAATGGAAAATGTGTTCAAATGCTTATTATTATAGTGAAAATATGAAATATTATAAAATTAATTCAGGATGAGGTGGACTTAATTTTTGTAAAAGTTGTTTTGAGTGAAAATGTGTTGAAATGCATTAATTATAGTCTTTGGTGAAAATATGGAAATATGATAAAATTCATTTTCAGAGGTTGGAATCCCTGTTTTTGTGGAAACGTCAGTAAACTCTAAACACCAACAGTGGTTCCAAACCATTAATTTCTATTTATTTGTACAGTAAATAAAAATAATTTAAAACTTATTCATACCAAGAATGAAGTTGTACTGTGAATTTTTGCGAACTTTCTTTTTATTTGAAAATCTGTTCAAATGATAAATTATAGTCTTTTTTAAATATAAATATGACCAAAATTCAATGGCAATAAGGAAAATAATTCCAATTCATAAAATAGCAACAATTTTCCATAGCTGAGTTTGCATTAGCCTGTGCAAGTTCGATCTAAGGCTTACCAAATTAAATTTACCGGTTCGGCATAAATTTTATTATGACATAATAACTACAATAATGGAAATATGATAAAATCCTAGAAAATCAGGAGAAAATGGAGTGCGTAAAATTTTGAAAAAGTTGTTTTTAAGTGATAAAATGTGTTGAAATTAAGAAATTATATCTTTTAATTTAAATATGGAAATATTAAATTTCATTTTCAGAATGGTTCAATCCACTGTTTTCCAAAAGTTATTTTTAAATGGAAAATGTGTTGAAATGCATTAATTATAGTCTTTATAGTAAAATATGAAAGAATATTATAAATTATTAAGGAGGGTGGACAATTTTTGTAAAGTTCTTTTCATGGAAAATGTGTTGAAATGCATTAATTATAGTCACAGGCTGACAATATGGAAATATGATAAAATTAATTTTCAGGATGGATGGAAGGGATACATGCATAAAAGTTAACTATTATATTGCAAAATGTGTTAAATGCTTGAATTATAATATTTATGTGGGTTTAAAAATATGAATATGATGGGACTTTCAGTGTTCAGCAATGTAGCAGGCTGCATATAAGTATATAGTAAATATAAGCATATAAATATATAACAATAGGTTTCTATAGAAACAAATAATCATGTCACTGTTGGTTAAATAAATTAAGTATCAAGACCGTGATGGTTATTCAACGAAAAGCTTACTGGCAAAACTTACCTAGCGTGAGGTTGAATCTCTCAGGAAGTTGGAAATCCAGTTCAATTGTTGCACATTGATGAGACCATCTCATAGCATCAAAAATTTATATTAATCTATAAATTGTGATAGCAATGAAATTATAAATTCACAATGGTATACATCTGTAAACATAGAAAGCTTCATCCCCATCCCCAGGAATCCCTTTTTGACCAAAATTATTCAAAGCTTCCATCAGTTTCTAATGAAGCATAAAACAAACTCATTTAGTTAAACAATTAAAAATATTATCAATCATTAAACATTTTCGATATTTATGACAAGACAGCTAAAAACATTGTAAAGACTGCATTTATGTTCGCTGTGAAAAATTTCCTCCCTTGGGAGGTAAACAAACCAATCTGTATGTCAAATCAACAAATGAAAACATTCTATATTTTATTTCATTCTTGAATAACTGTCTATATCTTTGATATCCATAAAGAGGAATTGCACACGATGAAACAAATGTAACTTGATTAAATAGTTCATTGGTTTCAACCATTGAGTTGTAATGTTTGAAATGTTCAAGGTTAGAAGCCATCTTGATTTCAGCAAGCGGAGACTGAAACGAGTTAATATTTTAGTTGCAATATTAACAAATTATAAAATCAATTACAAGAAAACAAAAAAATGATGAAAAAATTGTTAAAGAACATATTTTAAGTAAAAGGACTCATGCAAGGTAACTCAAATGTTCAACTTATGATGGTGAAAATATAAAAAACATGGAGATAAAATAAAGCATGACAATCAATAGATCTTCACTTAGGTAATAATAGCTGCAGATCCAAATTTATAAACAGTGTGTGAAGCACTGACTAAAACATTTTGGCAATCAAATGCACTTGAAAGCCCTGGCAGGTTAGCTAAAGTCCCTCGGTGCTACAAGTCTTGTGACTTTTACTACAAAATCTCCCTCGGCTTTCAAGTACATTTAATCACTAAGTTACCTCACTACCGTGCATCGTTTTACTTATAAAAATATTGCACACGCTAGCTAAAATGTAGATCCCATTAACTACATACATGTATGGTCTTATATGAGCCAGTTTTAAATACTCAAAGAATATTTAGGCAATCAGAGAGTAAAATATTTTTACCTTACTCTGAACAAAACAGTTTTCTTGTGAGTCTTTTTATCGCAGGGATACGTCGGTATAAAATTCTTATCACCAAAATGTTTCAAATTCCAAATTGGTGAAGTGTTGACTGTGTAGTAAGCTGGTCGATACAACTCATACGCAACGCATCGATTTGCTGTTTAAAATCATGATAGAACTCATGCAGATAGATTGGTTTCACATAGCCAGAATAACAACCAATAACTGTTAGCTTCCAGAGCAATTCAGTGAATTCACCACAAATGTCAGTCTGCTACGTGAAGATAGTTCTCTTGCATATGCCTCAAGTCTTTTTTTACGCTTCCGAATTGCATCCTTGAACGCCTTATTTTATACAGTTCAGCCAACATTTACCTATTCTTGCCATAAAATGATTAAGTGTGCTCCAAGTTGACTGAAAATAAAATTGTTCAGCATACGCCATTTTGAAAGCATGTCTATAATTATCCACTATCATCCATTGTAACCACTATCAACATCCTAATGTCATTGGTCAAAAATAGTCACATTTTTTTTACTTTTGCCTTTCATTCATGTCATTTCTAGATATGAATTTTCTTATTCGTCCATAGTTCAATCAATAATAAAAAAATATTTATTGTAAATTTTATTATAGCAAATGAACGTGACGCCAAGAGTTTGTAAATTACATGCAATTTTTCGTCGTGGTATAGTGAACTATCTATCTCGACCTTATTTAAACCCAGTGAACTCTACAACGACTGGAAGGCTAACTTGACGCCATCTTTGAAGCCTGCATGAGCGCCGCCATTGAAGGTACGGAGGCGAAATACATCACTTCGAAATTGCCGAATTTTTTGCAAAAAACAGTGGTCTTCAAGCCAGCTTAATGTCTAAAAATCTTAAACAATGTTTGGAGATTGTTTTTTATAATTTATTGTACGAACATTTTACTTGCTAAAACTTACATATTACTTGAAGTCGTTTGAGAAGTTCCTTTCTCTTAAATTTATTCTTAAGTTTATCATACATTACATTACAGATGTAAATTTTTTGGGTCTAAGGACATGAGAGTAGAAAACATTGAGGTGTAAAATAATCTCTAAACATGAAAGAAGATGCCGCTTATACTGGGAAATGCCAGTAAATTTGATGATCAATTTTCACATGTTTTATACTTGTTGCGAGGTATGTCATTTTGTACGTTTTATGTAAATTTTCGTGAATTAAAATACTGTGAAAAGTCCCAAATGGATTGCCAGCTGATGAAAAATCATTTTACACCTTAATGATTTCTTCCTCTAAATTGTTTTCATCAGTTACCATGTTGGGGCAAAATTCCATACAGTGAAAAGAATTTCTGCTAATTTTATGCTTTGCTGAGCTTCGACACTCTCATGTACTCTCCCAACATGGCTTATATGACGTCAAAAGAAAACACACTATAGCTACGGTTGAATGAAAACAGCCCCAAACATCATTAAATATTTGTTAAAATTGCGTATATATTATTACGAAACAGCGATTTTGTGCACGTTATGATGACAAATTTCCATATTGCATTGAAAAGCGTATTTCGAAAAACATTTATCAAACGCTGACACTTGCTGGCATGGTGACCATGTTTAATTTAAATACATATGCATATTTTAAGCTGACAGTCGTTTCAAAACTACCGATGGATGTTATTTATTCATCACGGCATAAATGCTTTTCAAACAACATTATTATTCTAAAATCATTACTTAATAGAAATTTGTACAACATTATTCCAAAATAGGTGGCAGGAGCCTACTTTGAAATACTTTACCACAAAATTCGTTTTCTAAGTCAGAGAGCGAGGGAACTCTCTGACTTAGTAAGAATACGCCGAATTCAACAGAGTATATATGCTCTCTCAAAATCCAAGATTTCTTAAAATCTAAAAGATAGCCAAAGAACAAATTAGCGACACAATAAAACAAACACATAAACCTGAAAAAGACTGAAGTCACTAAGCTACAAGTCAGTGAAACAAATAAAAATTTTTATACCTCATCTTGTTTTCATCTTGTTCTCCATCAGCATGCTTCCCGTCTCCGTCAGCATCCTCTTCGTCGCTCCATCAGCATCCTTTCGTCGCTCCATCAGCATCCTCTTCGTCGCTCCATCAGCATCCTCTTCGTTGCTTCATCAGCATCCACCTCGTAACGCCATCAGCATCCTCCTCGTAGCACCATCAGCATCCTCCTCGTAGCACCATCAGCATCCTCCTCGTAGCACCATCAGCATCCTCCTCGTAGCACCATCAGCATCCTCCTCGTAGCCATCAGCATCCTCCTCGTAGGCCATCAGCATCCTCCTCGTAGGACCATCAGCATCCTCCTCGCAGGACCATCAGCATCCTCCTCGCAGGACCATCAGCATCCTCCTCGCAGGACCATCAGCATCCTCCTGCAGGACCATCAGCATCCTCTTCGTAGCACCATCAGCATCCTCCTCGTAGCTCCGTCAGCATCTTCCTCGTCTCTCCGTCAGCATCCTCTTCTTTTCATCAGCCTCCTCCTCATCTAAACGAAAATCTAAAACAAGTTAAGATTAGGACAGGAAAAATAATAACGTACTCCTCTATCTTCTTCTTGATCTTCATCTCTTGTACCTAAAAAAAGACTGAAGAAGAAGTTATTTGTTTGATGGAAACAAACAATTGTAAGCACCCACCACTGCCAGAGTTCGCGTTCTTTCACTGTCCGTACGCTCGACATGTCTATAAAAATGCAACAACAATATCATGGCAAGTGATTATGGAGATCGTGCTTTCGCATTGTAATAGTTTTATCATGCTAAAACATTGATATCCATGACTGTACATGATTGAACATGTATGTTAAGTGAACAACTCTTTGAAGATTATAAGACTCGCGGAAAGCTTATCGTTTGAACCGTGCATTGTGTTATAACACCCCTCAATGTTATAACACATGCAGTGTTCTGTAACATTGTCAAACGATTTATTACATGCGATATAATTCAAAAATACCTAGATAAAAACAAGATAATTAACGAATGTCTCATGCAATATATTCTCTGCTCAACTCTTTTCGATTTCATCCAAAAGGTTGTTTAATTATTTCGGTAAGGCACTAAGGTTTATAAAAGATTTTGCAACACTCTGCCCGCATGTTGCAATATCAAATGAATTAACTTAATTACCTCAATTATATATTACAGAATATACAATTCTGTAATATATAATTGAGGTAATTGATTTAAATTCCTCGTCTCTTCATGTGCATCCTTCTCGTTTCTTTATGTGCATCCTTCTCGTCTCTTCATGTGCATCCTCTCTTTCCATCTGCATCCTTCTGATTTCTGCATCTTTCGTCTTTCCATCTGCATCTTTTGTCTTTCCATCTGCATCCTTCCATCCCATCTGCATCCTGTCCCATCTGCATCCTCGATTTCTGCATTTCCGATCCGCCGATTTCCTTCGCTGATTCCTGATTTCCTTCGCTTCCCATCTGATTCTTTCATTCCATCATCTTCTGGATCTGATTTGATCTTTATCCTCCTTCCGACGCCGACGACGCGATCTGACGATTTGTTCGCCGACGATCTTTTCTTATCTGCATCCTCCTTGTTCTTCATCGATTCTTGATTTATCTGATCCTTCCGACTCTTCTTTATTTCTCTTTCTTGTTTTTCGACACTTATCTATCTTCATCGATCCTTCTTCTTTGACATTTTCTCTACTCGATCTGATTTCGATCGCATCTTCTCCTTCATCTGCATTTTTTTCTTCTTCATCGATTCCTCCTTTAATGATTCTTGACGAACCTAATTTTGACGAATATGTAACATATTTCTCTATATCCTTGATCCTCCTTGTCCGTTCTTGATCCTCCTTGTCCATTCATTTCATCCTCCTCGTCCCTTCATCTGCATCCTCCTTTTCTCTTTATCTGCATCCTCGTCTCTTCATCTGCATCCTCCTTTTCTCTTCATCTGCATCCTCGTCTCTTCATCTGCATCCTTCTTGTCTCTCGTCAGCATCCTCCTCTACTTTTCATCAGCCTCCTCCTCATCTAAACGAAAAATCTAAAAACAAGTTAAGATAAGGACAGGAAAAATAATAACGTACTCCTCTCTATCTTCTTCCTGATCTTCATCTCTTGTACCTAAAAAAAAGACTGAAGAAGGAGTTATTTGTTTAATGGAAACAAACAATTGTTTAGCACATACCACTGCCAGAGTTCGCGTTCTTTCACTGTCCGTACGCTCGACACTGTACATGACTGAACATGTATGTTAAGTGAACAACTCTTTGAAGATTATAAGACTCGCGGAAAGCTTATCGTTTGAACCGTGCATTGTGCTGTAACACCCTCAATGTTATAACACATGCAGTGTTCTGTAACATTGTCAAACGATTTATTACATGCGATATAATTCAAAATACCTAGATAAAAACAAGATAATTAACGAATGTCTCATGCAATATATTCTCTGCTCGATTTCATTGAAAAAGGTTGCCATCACATTTGAAGATTCAGCAACATTTTGCCCCATGTATATCTTGTATAATATATATATTTGAGGTAATTCATTTGAACGTTTCTCAAGTGAATTACCCACTTTTATCTCACCTACTATAACATCACTTGATGCTACAGTAGTTCCTCTCAGGAGCAGGGACGGATTAACCAAAGGAAGCTGTCTAGAAGCCTCCACAAACAAGGGCCTTCACATTATTCAAAGGAAGAATAAACATAGTTGCTTTAAAGACGAAGGAAAAGCATTTAGTTTATTTGTTGGATCAATTTCAGCTGATGAAGAACAGACCACGTATGACAACGAATCACAGTAAACTCAGCCATTTTGCTCTGATGAGCATTGAGGACAATATTCTAACAGAAATAAACTTGGAAGAGCTTATCAAAGACTGCCAGAATTAGATCGCAATAACTACTTTATCTCAAGTAGCAGCATTCACTCGTCGTATGCAACCGCTTTACACGCTATATTCGAAGTTTATACTTTTATCAAATGCTTTACGAAATTTGAAAGTAAATGTTACTGTTGAAAAATGAGCAACACATTGCGTTTAGAGTAAGGGAAAGGGGGTATTTTTGCTGCTCAGAGCCTCCACACATCTTAATCCGGCCCTGCTCGGGAGACATAAAATATTATATCCTTTTGTCACAAAGACAAAAGGATTGAACTTGCTATTTCTAACAATGGCCAGTTGTTAGAAATAGGCAAAATGCAAAATCATCACACTTATGTGAATGATAACGATGAATGCAAAAATGAAAATATTTTCTGGACATGTATTGAAGAGGTCCAATAATTGATGTCAAGAATAGTGGGAAACTTTTGGCAGTTTCGTTCGTGTTCTCACTTCAATATGTAACTGAAACTTGACGGCATTTTTGTGCTCCAAGATCGAAACATAGAAATACTAAGAAACCAAAGAAATCGATCATTCCTTCGAACAAATAGGACTCATAACGATGCTTTGAATATGCTGTAACGAGAATTCACATCACAATTGGGTTATACATTTTAATTCATCGATCTCAAACTTACATCTTTATGTCATCGACGATTTTTCTGTATTTAACCTGCCGCTTTCAAACATGGCTAAAATATCTCAACCGTGTCATGTCTTCAGTTGCTCGTCCTTTCCAACAAGTAGTCGCATTTCTTGAAGGCTGTCTTCGACTTTCAACAGACTTTCACCTTTCCCAGACGAACAGCTCGGTCAAATAGGGTTATCGAAGTGAAAGACCCTACTTTTTCTTCTGATAACTTTCATATATCACATGAATTAATTATTAATTCATTCGTCAATTTTGTTCAAACCATGATAAAAAGGGATTAAATTCATTGATTGCATGAAAATATATGCAGGGCAAAGACAAAAGGAATTAAGCCTGGTTATAAGTTAACTAACGACATTGGTTAGTAAAAGAAAGCAAAGCCTTTTCCCAGAGGTTTGGAGAAAACAAAAGAATATTTCTTTTGTTTCCTCAATGAAGAGTTTGCGAAATCAATGATTGTAAGGTTATGACGGCAGACAGAGCATGTCGTGTTGTGGTAAATTTTATCTAGTATGAACAAAAATTATCTCACCCAAAACCGCAATTCAATGCACCATAGCTAGGAGAGTTATCATTTTCTCCCACCTGACCACCTTTATTCAACTTGTTACGTCAACAAATAAATTAGAAGGCATATCAAAAGCTTGTAATTTATTCACGTGGAATCACCCACATGTTATAGAAAAGCTTTGTCGTGCTCAATACTTATTATGAACATTGGAGCCCTGCTTATTGCAATAATATGACTTGCCATTGTAAAATGTAATGTAATAATTTAACGAGAGAATTTTATTGACAGAACTAAATGGTAGCAAGTGATTCATTTTAGCAATCCTAATAGGATGGGACAAAGGGAAAGAATGAGAGGTAAGTTCGTTTTCAAATAATTATCTTTAGCGATGTAACGATAGCAGGACTTTCAAATGCGGTAAATGTTTTGTGGGAAAAGCGCGATTGTTTCTTTTCCGTGGTTGTAATCCTTAAAATTACATTATTAACAGTAAAACTGAACAAATTGAAAGTTATCTTTTTCCTCTTATATTCCTTGTTCAACGAGTTCATTTCCTTGATCAAACCATGATGAAAATTTATCCAATCACATTTACATTAAAGTTTTTTAAACTTCAAGATTTCCCCACATTCATTTAGCTTAAATCCCGCATGATAAACGAATGATATCTCTAATCAAAGATGATCACGCAGTCTCCGATTTTTTAGGAATGAAAATAGGTTTTACGTTAATTGGTTTATGTTTGGCGTAAGGTGAAGCCGGTGATCCAACAATTAACACGTGATTACCCTTTAACCATAATCTCCACATGCTTTTATGAAATCCTCGAGCATCTAAGTCCCAGATTCGTAAACATCTCGCTATATTATTCCATGTTGTCCAGTCGTTAGCATGTTTCATTTCAATATAAAATATATATGTTTTATCAGATGTTTCTGGAACAAAGTCTTTCTCGTTCTTGCAAGGATTTTTACTGTGATCCAACGGCTCTGCCAACCTGTAAAAAACAGTAGATAGACATCTCTAACAATCAAATGACATAAATATACGCACTATGATGATAATTAGATCACTGAATCACTAAGTAGAAATCTCCTTCATTGTCCTGTGAAAAGAAAAATATTGTTGTCAATATTTTATAAAATCCTGCAAGACATACCCTACAAGCCGTTCAATCTCCTTCTCATAATTTTCTTTTTTCAACAATCCAACATTAAACTTAACGTTAGGTTCAGTATTCAACGTATGTTTTTTGAAATAGGATTCTTGAAAAAATACATTCATATTCAGGCCTTTGGCGCCAAAATGGTAGGTTCTTGAGATATCCGGAATGATACATTCACGTCCCTTTTTTGTTGCTGTCCATCCTCATCCACATATCCCAATCCCAAAAGAGATCAGGGGGTTGGCCATTTTGGCTCAAGTTCTTCTTTATAAAGTCGTCGTTTGAGCAACCTGTTAATGCAAAGAGAAATAATAGATAGAATGAAGTTTATACTATCTATACATTTATAGTGCTGCGTGATGTCATTGTGGCGTGATGTCATTGCAGCGTGAGGTCATTGTAGCGTGATGTCATTGCAGCGTGATGTGCTTGTAGTGTGATGTCATTGTAGCATGACGTCACTGTTGCGTGATGTCATAGCGTAAACAAAATCATTTGTAGTAATAAAAATTCTCACCAGCCTAAACCAGGCATTGTTTCTACACGATATAACATTGCAGGATCATTACATGTGTGATCATAACCCTAAAAATAGAAATACTTGTTTTGCAATTAAATCATTAATCACATAAATTAGTTTTTCAATGGATGTACCATTTCTAAGGTAAATTTCTAAATTTCACTTTGTGATGTGCAAGGAAGGAAGCTCGATAAAGACAAACATAATGTAACCAATGAAAACTACAATAAGATAACAGATTCTTGTACGGAGATTTCCATTTTCCATTATAATGTGAAAAATATTTGAGATTTATTTAATTTACATTCTGCACTCTCGTCAGAGATAAACTGGACTCGACAAAAAGCAAAAGAATCAGAGACGTTCAAAACCACGTTAATAAAGTTGAAAACAAATTAAAATTTTGTTGTGTAGCAAACACAAGCCAACAATAGAGTAAAAGACTAAAAAGATGAAAAGAATGTTGTTAGCTTTTGTTTATAACAAACCTGATCATTCCACGCCGATATACAGTACAGACTTTCATCTGTATCCATTAAAGGCAAAAAGTGCGTATATATTAATCCTAACACGGTTTTAATATGCACATGAAAAACATGTGACTTGGACGAACTTTGAACTCGCACCTTCAGGATACTAGTCCGCCGCTCAACCTGTTCAGCTACCAAGCCCACACGGATTGGAGACCAGTCAAATCTCTTTTAAACTGCGTTTGGACAGTGGCGGATCTAGGATTTTTCAAACATCAGTCATAAAACGTCGGGGGCGATCCGCACCTGGGGTGGTCTGAGGCGTTCTCCCCTGAGAAATTTTGAATTTCAGAACCTTGAAAATGCCATTTTCAGCGTTTTAGAGCAATACAAAATGTATTTTGTGGGCATCGGTTTTGCGTAAATACAACACATTTTGCTTACGTTTTTTTCAAAAAAAAAAATGAATGAAGTGAACAATACTTGAATGTTTTGCCAAATATTTAGGCTCATTATCATGCCAAATATATGGCTCATTAGCATGTCTAGGAACGTAAAATTTGTTTTACAATAATGCTATTCAAAAACAGATACAGTCTTTAAAAATTTCTACCAAGTTGTCAGGCATAGACCCCCGTAGAGACCCCCATTCAAACCTCTATGTAACGAGTTAAGTTAGAAATTTGGTACTACAAGTGACAGTTCATAGATATAGAAAAGCTCAGACTTCAAACCATGCAAGTTTATTGTAACCCTTTACCCATCTCCACATCAGTGTCAGCAAATTCACTTTTGAGAAAAACTCAAAATTTTTTCTGCCAAAGATTAAGCAAAAATTATCAGAGTAAAATTTGCAGTTAAGGACAGCTTAATGTCATAAATGTTTATTAGGCATTTCACTAGACTATTATCTTCTGTAAGGATATGCAGGTGTGCTATATAGCAATCACTAGTAGCATTGTATTTGCAAATACAAACAGAATGTAACCAACATGTCTTTAATTATATAATTACATGAATGTTATATTTGGTTCATGTGTCATGCTTACTGGTTATGATAAATATCTTTTGATATGATCAAAGCTCGTTTGATCTGAAATAATTTAGTTTAGAAATTATAATGATCATCAGAAAAATTACATAGTGATCATGAAAATACTTTGCTGTTTTGCCAAATTTCAAGGTTTATCTGCATACATAGGAAGACATTTTTACTCTATAAAAAATGCTTTTCATACATCAATAGCCCTTTGGATATTATGGCAAACTTTGGATTTTATGGTATGAACCTCTACATGAGGTGTTCAGTTTGAAAAGGGGACAATATGTGACATGGGACAACATTTCATGTATGTGAAATACTCAGGTTTAATACCATTCCAGTCAAATTGTCAAAATAAAAAGCTTCATGGATCAGAAGACTCAAAATCACAGGTTATAGTAAACAGCTTCTCATGTAATCAATGTTAGTTTTCAAATCTTAAACAATATGTAGTATAACTGTCCAATGATTGAATGATCAATGATCATAAACTGAAAAGCCCCAAACATTTGCTTATGATAAAGTAAATAATAGTATGGCGCCTTATGGCTACAGATTTTTTGTCCATTGAAATATATTTGCAAGAATGTAGGATTTTGCTGCCATATAACGGCCACGATTCCCCAAGCACTAAAGAAATTATAGCTAAAACTCCTTCGGCAACAACAATTTTAGAAGCATCAATCTGCTTACCATATGCCATATTGACATAAATCGCATCACATACTCGCATAAATTGACTTTGATATATTACATTCATGCATACACTTCACTTGTCCTTTACTTACGATTTTGGATGTAAATTTCTGCTGATAAAACTCAAAACAATGTTGGCTTTCTTTTGAACATCAATGACTGAAATGTCGCTCGCGAGATCGTCTTCGCCAAGCATTTACAATTTATCCATAAATTTTTCACCCTCTTGAAAAAATTCACAGTTTGGACAGCTTCATTCATGTCAATTATGAATTTGTAAAAGATTTCCATAAAATCCATCTGATTGTAGTTTAGTTTCTATCATGCTTATAAAAATTGCTATGAAACGATCAAACATTCAACTCAGACAGTGAGCTTGACTATGTTAGTTCAGTTGGCTATCAGTCGAAATCCGTCAAACCAATCACAATAAAACAAAAATTCAAATGAACCAATTGTAAGATAGCAATGAAGTATTTGCCGGTTGCCAGTCTCCCTTAAATTTGCGCAAATTTGCCATTATACTGAACTACCATTTTGCTTGCACCAAGTCAAATGGAAGAGAAATGGAGTGCAAACAATGACCATGAAGTCGAGTACGTATATTTCCGATCGTATTGAAGTCACATTTTAACAGATGGAAAAATAATGCTACAAGTTAATGTTTCCTTGACACTTGTAAGAGTTTCTTAAAGAATCCTTTTACGTGGAGAACTGTGTCTTTACATGATCGCCGATATTGCTTTTGCTCAAAAGTCTTGGTAGTGTTTATGCCGATGAACTAAAATGGCGGGATAGCTGGTCATTTATCGTCACAAAACGTGGCCAGAAATACTCAGAGAAACATCATCACGCAGCAGACATATCGAACTGGGGTGAGCCTGTCACTGCTCGTGCTACAGTTCCTCTTGTTCCTGCTAAACAATCTCAATGTGCTTGGGATGACAGTGAAGAATCAAAGCGAAGAAGAATGTTTTGTGATAAGTTTGAAGGCTATGGAAGTGTATGCAGTTGTAAGTATCTTTTCGTTACATCCATGTAGGATTAGATTTCTTATTTAATTGAACGTACAGCGATGTGTTCAGTAATTTTGCCATTCACATTGTGCATTAAAACTTTGAGAAAGTATTCTGAGAATACTCCATAAACCTGATCATTCCACGCCGATATACAGTACAGACTTTCATCTGTATCCATTAAAGGCAAAAATTGATTAAAATAACTAAATATGTCCACAGGTACGTCTAAATCGTCTTACAAAATAATCATATACCGAGCATTGGGATAAGCATTAAACGTCTTTGTCAATGTTCGCTTGTAATGCTGGGAGGAAGAGAAAATACATTTAAAAAGTAATAAAAGGAACGAAAAAATTTTGATTACATTGTGTAAACACTCTCAAAGAAAAAGCCTTACCAACCTGTGATATTCTAGCGTTCTTACTGCTAATAGGAATATGCTGTACGACTTTTACATCATATAGCCTTGTCACAGCAGCTGGTTCTTCAAAGAATCCATCAATAAATACAGTAAATAACTCCTTCTTTGCTCCATGAGCTGACAACATTGACCGTAAGCCACGATAAAGATAATGTGGCCTGTTACTAGCAATCACAGCAACAGGAATGTCTTGAACTTTTCTAACTTCAACGGTGTTGTTTTAATTTCAATTGGAGCAGGATTATTACCTACAACATTTAAGAACATATTCTGTCAGTTCTTCATATCGTTCTAACATTAGCTGCAATAACAGTGATATCCTTATTTCTACAATTTTTTCCATGGAGTATTCTCAGAATATTTTCTCGAAGTTTTAATGCACAATGTGAATGGCAAAATTACTGAACACATCGCTGTACGTTCAATTAAATAAGAAATCTAATCCTACATGGATGTAACGAAAAGATACTTACAACTGCATACACTTCCATAGCCTTCAAACTTATCACAAAACATTCTTCTTCGCTTTGATTCTTCACTGTCATCCCAAGCACATTGAGATTGTTTAGCAGGAACAAGAGGAACTGTAGCACGAGCAGTGACAGGCTCACCCCAGTTCGATATGTCTGCTGCGTGATGATGTTTCTCTGAGTATTTCTGGCCACGTTTTGTGACGATAAATGACCAGCTATCCCGCCATTTTAGTTCATCGGCATAAACACTACCAAGACTTTTGAGCAAAAGCAATATCGGCGATCATGTAAAGACACAGTTCTCCACGTAAAAGGATTCTTTAAGAAACTCTTACAAGTGTCAAGGAAACATTAACTTGTAGCATTATTTTTCCATCTGTTAAAATGTGACTTCAATACGATCGGAAATATACGTACTCGACTTCATGGTCATTGTTTGCACTCCATTTCTCTTCCATTTGACTTGGTGCAAGCAAAATGGTAGTTCAGTATAATGGCAAATTTGCGCAAATTTAAGGGAGACTGGCAACCGGCAAATACTTCATTGCTATCTTACAATTGGTTCATTTGAATTTTTGTTTTATTGTGATTGGTTTGACGGATTTCGACTGATAGCCAACTGAACTAACATAGTCAAGCTCACTGTCTGAGTTGAATGTTTGATCGTTTCATAGCAATTTTTATAAGCATGATAGAAACTAAACTACAATCAGATGGATTTTATGGAAATCTTTACAAATTCATAATTGACATGAATGAAGCTGTCCAAACTGTGAATTTTTCAAGAGGGTGAAAAATTTATGGATAAATTGTAAATGCTTGGCGAAGACGATCTCGCGAGCGACATTTCAGTCATTGATGTTCAAAAGAAAGCCAACATTGTTTTGAGTTTTATCAGCAGAAATTTACATCCAAAATCGTAAGTAAAGGACAAGTGAAGTGTATGCATGAATGTAATATATCAAAGTCAATTTATGCGAGTATGTGATGCGATTTATGTCAATATGGCATATGGTAAGCAGATTGATGCTTCTAAAATTGTTGTTGCCGAAGGAGTTTTAGCTATAATTTCTTTAGTGCTTGGGGAATCGTGGCCGTTATATGGCAGCAAAATCCTACATTCTTGCAAATATATTTCAATGGACAAAAAATCTGTAGCCATAAGGCGCCATACTATTATTTACTTTATCATAAGCAAATGTTTGGGGCTTTTCAGTTTATGATCATTGATCATTCAATCATTGGACAGTTATACTACATATTGTTTAAGATTTGAGAAAACTAACATTGATTACATGAGAAGCTGTTTACTATAACCTGTGATTTTGAGTCTTCTGATCCATGAAGCTTTTTATTTTGACAATTTGACTGGAATGGTATTAAACCTGAGTATTTCACATACATGAAATGTTGTCCCATGTCACATATTGTCCCCTTTTCAAACTGAACACCTCATGTAGAGGTTCATACCATAAAATCCAAAGTTTGCCATAATATCCAAAGGGCTATTGATGTATGAAAAGCATTTTTTATAGAGTAAAAATGTCTTCCTATGTATGCAGATAAACCTTGAAATTTGGCAAAACAGCAAAGTATTTTCATGATCACTATGTAATTTTTCTGATGATCATTATAATTTCTAAACTAAATTATTTCAGATCAAACGAGCTTTGATCATATCAAAAGATATTTATCATAACCAGTAAGCATGACACATGAACCAAATATAACATTCATGTAATTATATAATTAAAGACATGTTGGTTACATTCTGTTTGTATTTGCAAATACAATGCTACTAGTGATTGCTATATAGCACACCTTGCATATCCTTACAGAAGATAATAGTCTAGTGAAATGCCTAATAAACATTTATGACATTAAGCTGTCCTTAACTGCAAATTTTTACTCTGATAATTTTTGCTTAATCTTTGGCAGAAAAATTTTGAGTTTTTTCTCAAAAAGTGAATTTGCTGACACTGATGTGGAGATGGGTAAAGGGTTACAATAAACTTGCATGGTTTGAAATCTGAGCTTTTCTATATCTATGAACTGTCACTTGTAGTACCAAATTTCTAACTTAACTCGTTACATAGAGGTTTGAATGGGGGTCTCTAGGGGGGTCTATGCCTGACAACTTGGTAGAAATTTTTAAAGACTGTATCTGTTTTTGAATAGCATTATTGTAAAATAAATTTTACGTTCCTAGACATGTTAATGAGCCATATATTTGGCATGATAATGAGCCTAAATATTTGGCAAAACATTCAAGTATTGTTCACTTCATTTTTTTTTTGAAAAAAACGTAAGCAAAATGTGTTGTATTTACGCAAAACCGATGCCCACAAAATACATTTTGTATTGCTCTAAAACGCTGAAAATGGCATTTTCAAGGTTCTGAAATTCAAAATTTCTCAGGGGAGAATGCCTCAGACCACCCCAGGTGCGGATCGCCCCCGACGTTTTATGACTGATGTTTGAAAAATCCTAGATCCGCCACTGTCCAAACGCAGTTTAAAAGAGATTTGACTGGTCTCCAATCCATGTGGGCTTGGTAGCTGAACAGGTTGAGCGGCGGACTAGTATCCTGAAGGTGCGAGTTCAAAGTTCGTCCAAGTCACATGTTTTTCATGTGCATATTAAAACCGTGTTAGGATTAATATATACGCAATTTTTGCCTTTAATGGATACAGATGAAAGTCTGTACTGTATATCGGCGTGGAATGATCAGGTTTGTTATAAACAAAAGCTAACAACATTCTTTTCATCTTTTTAGTCTTTTACTCTATTGTTGGCTTGTGTTTGCTACACAACAAACTTTTAATTTGTTTTCAACTTTATTAACGTGGTTTTGAACGTCTCTGATTCTTTTTGTTTTTTTGTCGAGTCCAGTTTATCTCTGACGAGAGTGCAGAATGTAAATTAAATAAATCTCAAATATTTTTCACATTATAATGGAAAATGGAAATCTCCGTACAAGAATCTGTTATCTTATTGTAGTTTTCATTGGTTACATTATGTTTGTCTTTATCGAGCTTCCTTCCTTGCACATCACAAAGTGAAATTTAGGAAATTTACCTTAGAAATGGTACATCCATTGAAAAACTAATTTATGTGATTAATGATTTTATTGCAAAAACAAGTATTTCTATTTTTAGGGTTATGATCACACATGTAATGATCCTGCATTGTTATATCGTGTAGAAACAATGCCTGGTTTAGGCTGGTGAGAATTTTTATTACTACAAATGATTTTGTTTACGCTATGACATCACGCAACAGTGACGTCATGCTACAATGACATCACACTACAAGCACATCACGCTGCAATGACATCACGCTACAATGACCTCACGCTGCAATGACATCACGCCACAATGACATCACGCAGCACTATAAATGTATAGATAGTATAAACTTCATTCTATCTATTATTTCTCTTTGCATTAACAGGTTGCTCAAACGACGACTTTATAAAGAAGAACTTGAGCCAAAATGGCCAACCCCTGATCTCTTTTGGGATTGGGATATGTGGATGAGGATGGACAGCAACAAAAAGGGACGTGAATGTATCATTCCGGATATCTCAAGAACCTACCATTTTGGCGCCAAAGGCCTGAATATGAATGTATTTTTTCAAGAATCCTATTTCAAAAAACATACGTTGAATACTGAACCTAACGTTAAGTTTAATGTTGGATTGTTGAAAAAAGAAAATTATGAGAAGGAGATTGAACGGCTTGTAGGGTATGTCTTGCAGGATTTTATAAAATATTGACAACAATATTTTTCTTTTCACAGGACAATGAAGGAGATTTCTACTTAGTGATTCAGTGATCTAATTATCATCATAGTGCGTATATTTATGTCATTTGATTGTTAGAGATGTCTATCTACTGTTTTTTACAGGTTGGCAGAGCCGTTGGATCACAGTAAAATCCTTGCAAGAACGAGAAAGACTTTGTTCCAGAAACATCTGATAAAACATATATATTTTATATTGAAATGAAACATGCTAACGACTGGACAACATGGAATAATATAGCGAGATGTTTACGAATCTGGGACTTAGATGCTCGAGGATTTCATAAAAGCATGTGGAGATTATGGTTAAAGGGTAATCACGTGTTAATTGTTGGATCACCGGCTTCACCTTACGCCAAACATAAACCAATTAACGTAAAACCTATTTTCATTCCTAAAAAATCGGAGACTGCGTGATCATCTTTGATTAGAGATATCATTCGTTTATCATGCGGGATTTAAGCTAAATGAATGTGGGAAATCTTGAAGTTTAAAAACTTTAATGTAAATGTGATTGGATAAATTTTCATCATGGTTTGATCAAGGAAATGAACTCGTTGAACAAGGAATATAAGAGGAAAAAGATAACTTTCAATTTGTTCAGTTTTACTGTTAATAATGTAATTTTAAGGATTACAACCACGGAAAAGAAACAATCGCGCTTTTCCCACAAAACATTTACCGCATTTGAAAGTCCTGCTATCGTTACATCGCTAAAGATAATTATTTGAAAACGAACTTACCTCTCATTCTTTCCCTTTGTCCCATCCTATTAGGATTGCTAAAATGAATCACTTGCTACCATTTAGTTCTGTCAATAAAATTCTCTCGTTAAATTATTACATTACATTTTACAATGGCAAGTCATATTATTGCAATAAGCAGGGCTCCAATGTTCATAATAAGTATTGAGCACGACAAAAGCTTTTCTATAACATGTGGGTGATTCCCACGTGAATAAATTACAAGCTTTTGATATGCCTTCTAATTTATTTGTTGACGTAACAAGTTGAATAAAGGTGGTCAGGTGGGAGAAAAATGATAACTCTCCTAGCTATGGTGCATTGAATTGCGGTTTTGGGTGAGATAATTTTTTGTTCATACTAGATAAAATTTACCACAACACGACATGCTCTGTCTGCCGTCATAACCTTACAATCATTGATTTCGCAAACTCTTCATTGAGGAAACAAAAGAAATATTCTTTTGTTTTCTCCAAACCTCTGGGGAAAAGGCTTTGCTTTCTTTTACTAACCAATGTCGTTAGTTAACTTATAACCAGGCTTAATTCCTTTTGTCTTTGCCCTGCATATATTTTCATGCAATCAATGAATTTAATCCCTTTTTATCATGGTTTGAACAAAATTGACGAATGAATTAATAATTAATTCATGTGATATATGAAAGTTATCAGAAGAAAAAGTAGGGTCTTTCACTTCGATAACCCTATTTGACCGAGCTGTTCGTCTGGGAAAGGTGAAAGTCTGTTGAAAGTCGAAGACAGCCTTCAAGAAATGCGACTACTTGTTGGAAAGGACGAGCAACTGAAGACATGACACGGTTGAGATATTTTAGCCATGTTTGAAAGCGGCAGGTTAAATACAGAAAAATCGTCGATGACATAAAGATGTAAGTTTGAGATCGATGAATTAAAATGTATAACCCAATTGTGATGTGAATTCTCGTTACAGCATATTCAAAGCATCGTTATGAGTCCTATTTGTTCGAAGGAATGATCGATTTCTTTGGTTTCTTAGTATTTCTATGTTTCGATCTTGGAGCACAAAATGCCGTCAAGTTTCAGTTACATATTGAAGTGAGAACACGAACGAAACTGCCAAAAGTTTCCCACTATTCTTGACATCAATTATTGGACCTCTTCAATACATGTCCAGAAAATATTTTCATTTTTGCATTCATCGTTATCATTCACATAAGTGTGATGATTTTGCATTTGCCTATTTCTAACAACTGGCCATTGTTAGAAATAGCAAGTTCAATCCTTTGTCTTTGTGACAAAAGGATATAATATTTTATGTCTCCCGAGCAGGGCCGGATTAAGATGTGTGGAGGCTCTGAGCAGCAAAATACCCCTTTCCTTACTCTAAACGCAATGTGTTGCTCATTTTTCAACAGTAACATTTACTTTCAAATTTCGTAAAGCATTTGATAAAAGTATAAACTTCGAATATAGCGTGTAAAGCGGTTGCATACGACGAGTGAATGCTGCTACTTGAGATAAAGTAGTTATTGCGATTTTATTCTGGCAGTCTTTGATAAGCTCTTCCAAGTTTATTTCTGTTAGAATATTGTCCTCAATGCTCATCAGAGCAAAATGGCTGAGTTTACTGTGATTCGTTGTCATACGTGGTCTGTTCTTCATCAGCTGAAATTGATCCAACAAATAAACTAAATGCTTTTCCTTCGTCTTTAAAGCAACTATGTTTATTCTTCCTTTGAATAATGTGAAGGCCCTTGTTTGTGGAGGCTTCTAGACAGCTTCCTTTGGTTAATCCGTCCCTGCTCCTGAGAGGAACTACTGTAGCATCAAGTGATGTTATAGTAGGTGAGATAAAAGTGGGTAATTCACTTGAGAAACGTTCAAATGAATTACCTCAAATATATATTATAGAGTATACAAGATATTGCAACATGGGGCAAAATGTTGCTGAATCTTCAAATGCGATGATGTTTTATAAACCTTCGTACCTTACCGTAATAATTAAACAACCTTTTCAATGAAATCGAGCAGAGAATATATTGCATGAGACATTCGTTAATTATCTTGTTTTTATCTAGGTATTTTTGAATTATATCGCATGTAATAAATCGTTTGACAATGTTACAGAACACTGCATGTGTTATAACATTGAGGGGTGTTATAACACAATGCACGGTTCAAACGATAAGCTTTCCGCGAGTCTTATAATCTTCAAAGAGTTGTTCACTTAACATACATGTTCAGTCATGTACAGTGTCGAGCGTACGGACAGTGAAAGAACGCGAACTCTGGCAGTGGTATGTGCTAAACAATTGTTTGTTTCCATTAAACAAATAACTCCTTCTTCAGTCTTTTTTTTAGGTACAAGAGATGAAGATCAGGAAGAAGATAGAGAGGAGTACGTTATTATTTTTCCTGTCCTTATCTTAACTTGTTTTTAGATTTTTCGTTTAGATGAGGAGGAGGCTAATGAAAAGTAGAGGAGGATGCTGACGGAGAGACAAGAAGGATGCAGATGAAGAGACGAGGATGCAGATGAAGAGAAAAGGAGGATGCAGATGAAGAGACGAGGATGCAGATAAAGAGAAAAGGAGGATGCAGATGAAGGGACGAGGAGGATGAAAATGAATGGACAAGGAGGATCAAGAACGGACAAGGAGGATCAAGAAGGATATAGAGAAGTATGTTACTTTGTTCCTGTCATAATCGTAACTTGATTTTTAGGTACTTCGTTTAGATGAGGAGGATGCTAATGTAGAAACGAGGAGGATGCAGATGAAGAGACGAAGATGCCGATGAAGGGAGGAGAAGGATGCAGATGAAGAGAGGAGGATACCGATGAAGAGAGGAGGATGCAGATAGAGAGAGGATGCAGATGAAGAGACGAGGAGGATGCAGATGGAGAGGATGCAAATGAAGAGGAGAGGATACCGATGAAGAGACGACGAGGATGCAGATGAAGACACGAGGAGGATGCAGATGAAGAGACAAGGAGGATGCAGATGGAAAGACGAGGAGGATGCAGATGAAGAGACAAGAAGGATGCAGATGAAGGAGGATAAGGAGGATGCAGATGGAGGAGAAAGATGGAAAGGATGGATGGAAAGGAGGAAAGACAGGATGGAGATGGAAAGAGGATGGAAAGAAAAGGAAGGATGGAGATGGAAAGAAGGATGCAGATGGAAAGACGAGAAGGATGCAGATGGAAAGACGAGAAGGATGCAGATGGAAAGACAAGGAAGATGCAGATGGAAAGACGAGAAGGATGCAGATGGAAAGACGAGAAGGATGCAGATGGAAAGACGAGAAGGATGCACATGAAGAGACGAGAAGGATGCACATAAAGAAACGAGAAGGATGCACATGAAGAGACGAGGAATTTAAATCAATTACCTCAATTATATATTACAGAATTGTATATTCTGTAATATATAATTGAGGTAATTAAGTTAATTCATTTGATATTGCAACATGCGGGCAGAGTGTTGCAAAATCTTTTATAAACCTTAGTGCCTTACCGAAATAATTAAACAACCTTTTGGATGAAATCGAAAAGAGTTGAGCAGAGAATATATTGCATGAGACATTCGTTAATTATCTTGTTTTTATCTAGGTATTTTTGAATTATATCGCATGTAATAAATCGTTTGACAATGTTACAGAACACTGCATGTGTTATAACATTGAGGGGTGTTATAACACAATGCACGGTTCAAACGATAAGCTTTCCGCGAGTCTTATAATCTTCAAAGAGTTGTTCACTTAACATACATGTTCAATCATGTACAGTCATGGATATCAATGTTTTAGCATGATAAAACTATTACAATGCGAAAGCACGATCTCCATAATCACTTGCCATGATATTGTTGTTGCATTTTATAGACATGTCGAGCGTACGGACAGTGAAAGAACGCGAACTCTGGCAGTGGTGGGTGCTTACAATTGTTTGTTTCCATCAAACAAATAACTTCTTCTTCAGTCTTTTTAGGTACAAGAGATGAAGATCAAGAAGAAGATAGAGGAGTACGTTATTATTTTTCCTGTCCTAATCTTAACTTGTTTTAGATTTTCGTTTAGATGAGGAGGAGGCTGATGAAAAGAAGAGGATGCTGACGGAGAGACGAGGAAGATGCTGACGGAGCTACGAGGAGGATGCTGATGGTGCTACGAAGAGGATGCTGATGGTCCTGCGAGGAGGATGCTGATGGTCCTGCGAGGAGGATGCTGATGGTCCTGCGAGGAGGATGCTGATGGTCCTGCGAGGAGGATGCTGATGGTCCTGCGAGGAGGATGCTGATGGTCCTACGAGGAGGATGCTGATGGCGCTACGAGGAGGATGCTGATGGTGCTACGAGGAGGATGCTGATGGTGCTACGAGGAGGATGCTGATGGTGCTACGAGGAGGATGCTGATGGTGCTACGAGGAGGATGCTGATGGCGTTACGAGGTGGATGCTGATGAAGCAACGAAGAGGATGCTGATGGAGCGACGAAGAGGATGCTGATGGAGCGACGAAGAGGATGCTGATGGAGCGACGAAGAGGATGCTGACGGAGAGACGGGAAGCATGCTGATGGAGAACAAGATGAAAAACAAGATGAGGTATAAAAATTTTTTTATTTGTTTCACTGACTTGTAGCTTAGTGACTTCAGTCTTTTTTCAGGTTTATGTGTTTGTTTTTATTGTGTCGCTAATTTGTTCTTTGGCTATCTTTTAGATTTTTAAGAAATCTTGGATTTTGAGAGAGCATATATACTCTGTTGAATTCGGCGTATTCTTACTAAGTCAGAGAGTTCCCTCGCTCTCTGACTTAGAAAACGAATTTTGTGGTAAAGTATTTCAAAGTAGGCTCCTGCCACCTATTTTGGAATAATGTTGTACAAATTTCTATTAAGTAATGATTTTAGAATAATAATGTTGTTTGAAAAGCATTTATGCCGTGATGAATAAATAACATCCATCGGTAGTTTTGAAACGACTGTCAGCTTAAAATATGCATATGTATTTAAATTAAACATGGTCACCATGCCAGCAAGTGTCAGCGTTTGATAAATGTTTTCGAAATACGCTTTTCAATGCAATATGGAAATTTGTCATCATAACGTGCACAAAATCGCTGTTTCGTAATAATATATACGCAATTTTAACAAATATTTAATGATGTTTGGGGCTGTTTTCATTCAACCGTAGCTATAGTGTGTTTTCTTTTGACGTCATATAAGCCATGTTGGGAGAGTACATGAGAGTGTCGAAGCTCAGCAAAGCATAAAATTAGCAGAAATTCTTTTCACTGTATGGAATTTTGCTCCAACATGGTAACTGATGAAAACAATTTAGAGGAAGAAATCATTAAGGTGTAAAATGATTTTTTCATCAGCTGGCAATCCATTTGGGACTTTTCACAGTATTTTTAATTCACGAAAATTTACACAAAACGTACAAAATGACATACCTCGCAACAAGTATAAAACATGTGAAAATTGATCATCAAATTTACTGGCATTTCCCCAGTATAGTAGCGGCATCTTCTTTCATGTTTAGAGATTATTTTACACCTCAATGTTTTCTACTCTCATGTCCTTAGACCCAAAAAAAAATTTACATCTGTAATGTAATGTATGATAAACTTAAGAATAAATATAAGAGAAAGGAACTTCTCAAACGACTTCAAGTAATATGTAAGTTTTAGCAAGTAAAAATGTTCGTACAATAAATTATAAAAAACAATCTCCAAACATTGTTTAAGATTTTTAGACATTAAGCTGGCTTGAAGACCACTGTTTTTTGCATAAAATTCGGCAATTTCGAAGTGATGTATTTCGCCTCCGTACCTTCAATGGCGGCGCTCATGCAGGCTTCAAAGATGGCGTCCAAGTTAGCCTTCCAGTCGTTGTAGAGTTCACTGGGTTTAAATAAGGTCGAGATAGATAGTTCACTATACCACGACGAAAAATTGCATGTAATTTACAAACTCTTGGCGTCACGTTCATTTGCTATAATAAAATTTACAATAAATATTTTTTTATTATTGATTGAACTATGGACGAATAAGAAAATTCATATCTAGAAATGACATGAATGAAAGGCGAAAGTAAATAAAAAATGTGACTATTTTTGACCAATGACATTAGGATGTTGATAGTGGTTACAATGGATGATAGTGGATAATTATAGACATGCTTTCAAAATGGCGTATGCTGAACAATTTTATTTTCAGTCAACTTGGAGCACACTTAATCATTTTATGGCAAGAATAGGTGAATGTTGGCTGAACTGTATAAAATAAGGCGTTCAAGGATGCAATTCGGAAGCGTAAAAAAAGACTTGAGGCATATGCAAGAGAACTATCTTCACGTAGCAGACTGACATTTGTGGTGAATTCACTGAATTGCTCTGGAAGCTAACAGTTATTGGTTGTTATTCTGGCTATGTGAAACCAATCTATCTGCATGAGTTCTATCATGATTTTAAACAGCAAATCGATGCGTTGCGTATGAGTTGTATCGACCAGCTTACTACACAGTCAACACTTCACCAATTTGGAATTTGAAACATTTTGGTGATAAGAATTTTATACCGACGTATCCCTGCGATAAAAGACTCACAAGAAAAACTGTTTTGTTCAGAGTAAGGTAAAAATATTTTACTCTCTGATTGCCTAAATATTCTTTGAGTATTTAAAACTGGCTCATATAAGACCATACATGTATGTAGTTAATGGGATCTACATTTTAGCTAGCGTGTGCAATATTTTTATAAGTAAAACGATGCACGGTAGTGAGGTAACTTAGTGATTAAATGTACTTGAAAGCCGAGGGAGATTTTGTAGTAAAAGTCACAAGACTTGTAGCACCGAGGGACTTTAGCTAACCTGCCAGGGCTTTCAAGTGCATTTGATTGCCAAAATGTTTTAGTCAGTGCTTCACACACTGTTTATAAATTTGGATCTGCAGCTATTATTACCTAAGTGAAGATCTATTGATTGTCATGCTTTATTTTATCTCCATGTTTTTTATATTTTCACCATCATAAGTTGAACATTTGAGTTACCTTGCATGAGTCGTTTTACTTAAAATATGTTCTTTAACAATTTTGGTTCATCATTGTTTTGTTTTCTTGTAATTGATTTTATTTAGTATTTGTTAATATTGCAACTAAAATATTAACTCGTTTCAGTCTCCGCTTGCTGAAATCAAGATGGCTTCTAACCTTGAACATTTCAAACATTACAACTCAATGGTTGAAACCAATGAACTATTTAATCAAGTTACATTTGTTTCATCGTGTGCAATTCCTCTTTATGGATATCAAAGATATAGACAGTTATTCAAGAATGAAATAAAATATAGAATGTTTTCATTTGTTGATTTGACATACAGATTGGTTTGTTTACCTCCCAAAAAGGGAGGAAATTTGTTCACAGCGAACATAAATGCAGTCTTTACAATGTTTTTTAGCTGTCTTGTCATAAATATCGAAAATGTTTAATGATTGATAATATTTTTAATTGTTTAACTAAATGAGTTTGTTTTATGCTTCATTAGAAACTGATGGAAGCTTTGAATAATTTTGGTCAAAAGCGGCAGATAAATCCTGGGGATGGGGGATGAAGCTTTCTATGTTTACAGATGTATACCATTGTGAATTTATAATTTCATTGCTATCACAATTTATAGATTAATATAAAAATTTTTGATGCTATGAGATGGTCTCATCAATGTGCAACAATTGAACTGGATTTCCAACTTCCTGAGAGATTCAACCTCACGCTAGGTAAGTTTTGCCAGTAAGCTTTTCGTTGAATAACCTCACTCGGTCTTGATACTTAATTTATTTAACCAACAGTGACATGATTATTTGTTTCTATAGAAACCTATTGTTATATATTTATATGCTTATATATACTATATACTTATATGCAGCCTGCTACATTGCTGAACACTGAAAGTCCCACCTGCATTCAAACTCAAACAAACCCACCCATATAAGTATATAGTTACATTTAATATTGCAATGTTAACAGATAATTGCAATATAATAGTTAATAGTCCATGCATGTATCCCTGTGCATCCATCCCCCCCATGTAAATATCATTGATAATGGCTCACAAACATATGTAAGCCTGTGTATTATAGTCAGAGGATTACGGCACAGTTTAAGTTTCCATGAAATTGTAGATCTTTACAAATTGTAACAATTTAGTAATTTATCAATATTCTATTACTCTATTGACAGTGGTGAAGGAGATATAAAATTACATCCTGTTATTATTCATCGAGCTATTGTAGGTTCAGTTGAAAAATGATTGCTATTCTTGCTGAAAGCTTTGGTGGAAAATGGTGAGTGTTTTCTTGGCTCATGCCAGAGCTTAAAGCAAATGAAATGTCCTTAAAATGTTAAATTAAAATGATACAAAGTTTCTTAATTGTTTGGAAATTTTTTATCATTTTTACTCTACTTTACTTTATTTCAAAATTTTGACGCACTGCATTTTCTGTTATTTTCTAGGATTTTATGGCTTTCTCCCCATCAAGTTGTAGTAATTCCTGTCAGTAGTAAATATGATGATTATGCCGAACCGGTAAATTTAATTTGGTAAGCCTTAGATCGAACTTGCACAGGCTAATGCAAACTCAGCTATGGACAAATTGTTGCTATTTTATGAATTGGAATTTTTTTGTCCTTTTTTTTTTATTGACATTTTGGTCATGTTTAGATTCAAAAGAAGTTCCATGCAGCTGGTTATCGTGTTGATACAGACTTGGATCACGGATCAACACTAAATAAGAAAGTTCGCAATGCACAACTTTCACAGTACAACTTCATTCTTGGTATGAATAAGTCTTTTAAATTATTTTTATTTACTGTACAAATAAATAGAAATTAAAATGGTTTGGAACCACTGTTGGTGTTCAGAGTTTACTGACGTTTCCACAACATTAGTCAGGTTCGCCGTATTTGTTCTCTAGACGTCATGACAGAGAGGAAAATATGTGGATGTTTTAGTTTGTGTGGTATACTTATTAATTGTTCGCTTGTAAGCCGTTTATAAGGTGCTGATATTTGTATTCTGTTCAATGATTTTTGTTTTGAGTTTGTTAACCTACTTTCTAACGTAAGTCGTTGTCTATAGTCAGTGCTGTTTGTAATGTTGTGCATTGTGATGCTCACTTGTCAGTACTCGTTGTTCTTGGTAGTCAGTTGATGTGCGAGTTGTAAAATGTAAGGTATTATCGTTTGCTGTTGTTGGATTGTTTGTTGTTTGTGTTTTGTTTGTTTGTTTTGTGTTCATTGTCTTTTAAGTGTTGTCTATTTTAAAAGCAAAATAGATGTTCATTTTATTACTAAATGCGATTGGTTAAATGGTTTTATGTTGTTTTTAAACAGTTGTTGGTGAAAAGAGACGGTCTCAGACACGGTCAACGTCAGAACACGTGACAACAAAGTACTCGGTGAAAAATCGGTCATGGCCGTGATCGAACGCTTGCGAGATTTAGTCAGCTCACGAAGTCTGACAAGCGAAGATTTTGAAGTAAAACAACATTTTATGGTAAAGATAAAATGAATTTACTCACAAAAATAAATTTGAATGTAAATCCCATGATGCGTCGCAATTATAGAAAAATAGGTACGCGTACATGCCACTGGTCACTGGCAAACTGGCGGCATTGGTCACTAATACTTTATCAGTGGTGGTAATATTGATTTTATCGTGGTGGTAAATTCTTCCATTGGTAATTTATGGCGATAACCATCAGCAACTTTTCAACTTTTACCATCAAGTTTTCACTCAAACGAGATCGCTTCTCTTTCATATTTTGGCTTGTTTCTTGAGCTAGTAGGAGGCTGTGTGCGTTGATACAAGAAAAACTTTGTTGTGCAGAGGAAGGTAAAGATATTTTACTCGCAGAATTACTATATATTTATCAACAAAGTAGTTCATACTACAGCGATGAAAAATATAAAGCGTCGTATTTAACGCAAACCTTGGTTAAACCAGGGTTAGTTGACACATGTGCACTTGTATAATATGT